ATCAGTGTTTGACATGTCTAACTCTCTTATCAGAACTGTGGTAATTCAAAGAAGTACGTTTGGTGGAAAATGTCCTTAAAATTAGCAGAGGTTTTTTTTAATTACTAATAATAGCTATCATTAAATGTTTATATTGTGGCTCAGTCTCATCTGTTTCTCACAACTAGCTACTCTACGAGATAGGTACTTTTGTCCACACTTTTTAAAAAACCTGAGATAAAGAACTTACTTGCTCAAGCATACACGGCTGGTTAGCTGTGAAGCTGGTATAGAAACCGAGGCAGTCCGCCTGCATCCCAGGCTATTAAACCAGAATGCTGTATACTGCCAGAGAGAACCTAAAAATAACCCCGGAATCCGTAAGGATAGGGTATTTGTACGGGAATTTCCCCAGTTGCTGTGCATCTTCAAGTCTCCGGTGATTGGGAACATTCAGATGATCATGGAGAGAGTCCCTACTCCTCTTTGGAAATTCCAACCAATTCTTACACCACTTGTACCGCTTCTTCACGGGCTCTTTGTTTCAGCCCCCCACCCCCACCCCCGTAACTGCTGCTCTGTTTCCACCTCAGCCCTCTTCTATTCTTACTTCATAGGTTTGTGGTTCTGAACTTCAAGCACACTCTGGAGTCACTGGAGGGCTTTAAAACAATACAGCTGCCTGGGTCTCAGCCCTAGAGATTCTGCTTTAAATCTCTGCATGTCAGGATTTAAAAAAAGAAAAAAACACCCCCAGTGATTTTTGTGTGCAGTCAAGGTTGAGAACAACTGCCCTAGGCTATTTGTCCACAGTTGTGGCCTCCGTCTGTTATTTGTTGGCTTCATTTAATTGTCCATATAGCCCAGAACCCAGTTTGTCACTTCATTATCCTGCCACTTGCCTCCCCATATCCCTCTGCCCTGTATCCTGAATCCATCTCATAATTCATAGCTTCTCATCTTACATAGCAGTGTGGATTAGGACTACTGTACATTCGTGGTCTCACATCTCAGCTAAGCCGACCGTGGTATCTGTCAGTAGGTTATTTCTGTGTTCAGCTCTGTCATCCATTACTGGCAGAGCCTCTTCGAAATCTTCACCATCCTACCCTCCTCCTTATCAGATTGCCTTGACTCTTCCCACTATACATCCTACTGTGCCATTAATTATTTTGTATTTTCTCTCTCTTTACCCTTTGATTAGCTCTTTCCCCTTAGCATTTGCGCTCAAGAATTAAAAATTAAAAATAATTAAAAATTAAACTGAAAAATCGTTCTCCATCTAGTTACTTTTTGGCCCTTTTACTTATTGTCAGGGTTCATGAGAAAACAGGGTTCCTGTTTATACCTCCCATTCATGTACTTACTGGCTGATGTTGACCTAATTAGCCCTACCCAGAATGCTCTGGGGTCACCAAATCCACTGTCTTGCTGACATATTAGTTCATATCTTGACCTCTTGGCAGCATTGAAAGTTCTTTTTTGAACCTCTTCGTAAAGGGACAGCCTAGCCAGATAAACCATTGTGTGCTTTTACTTTGTTCCTGGCTATCTTTCTGCTTCTCTGCTTACTCACTCTTAGTCTCTGTCATGCATTACTAGTTTTATAATACTAGTTACATTGATTTGTGGCCACCTGCTAATGGTATGCTCTACCTGGATGAGCTTATGTAGTTAACCAAACAGTGGATGGCTCTGTATTTTTCTCTCTACATTCTGAGCTCTGTATAGCCAACTGTTTATTTACTCTTCATAAATTAAACATTTTTAAAAGTTGAGAACATATTATATATCATTGTTCAGCCAGACCTTGGAGAATTTATAGTCTACTTGTAGTGTGTCTTCAAGAGTGGTACGCTGCTAACCTGCATCAGAATCATTTGGGATGCTTATAAAAATGCAGATTCCTAGGCTTTGCAACTGGTCCATTAAGTTGTGATTTCTGCCTGTGGGTATAATGTCTATTAAATGTTAAAAACCATTAGTTCATCTGGAAATTGTCTCAGAGCAGTGAGCTGGGCAATTGGGGGACTCACCAAATTTGTTTTCTGTCCTCAGGAATCAAGGAATAAAAGAACTCTTTGTCTCATGGCCAGTATCTTAAAAATCGTTGTTACCTATATTTTTTCTGATTTTTTTGTTTGTTTCAGTGGGAAAGTAAATCAGGTCCCTCTTTCTTCATCTTGTCCAAAAAAAGTCTTGAGGAGTGGAAGGGGGCAAGACAGCATTTTTGATGCTTTTATAATGACAGAGACAAAGCTACAGACTATTTGTAGCAGATAGAGCCAAAAACTGGAAACCACCCAAAAGCCCATCAATAGAAAATAGATAAATAAAGCATGGTATATTAGTACAAGGAATACGCTATATTGAGAATGAGTGAACTATAACTAAATGTAATGGCAAGATAGGCTCTCACAAACATGATGAGAAGTAAAAGAAGCTTGACATAAAAGAGCACATCCTTTGAGATTCCTCCTCAAAATTTTAAAACCAGCAAAATGAGTCTGTGGTATTAGTAGTCTGGATAAGTGGTTACCTTGAGGGGAGGGTAGTAAGCAGAAGGTGACATGCGGGGACTTCTGGGGTTCTGGTGATACTCTCTTTTCTGGGTATTGCTTACATTGTTGTTTCATTTTGAGTAACTCCATTGAGCTGTGTACGTATATGGGACTTTATGTTATGCATTATAAAAGTAACCCCCCCCTCAACAACATACAAAAAAATGTCGGCTGCATTTGCCTTAGGGGATTCCATATTTATGCAAGGTTTTGCGGAGCAGTTTTGTGTCATCATTCTTGTGTCAGGCTTGTCTCCATGTCTGGAACATCAGGGACCAACAGATGGCCCTTGGGCAAGCATCGGTTCCCGCACTCATCTAACACAGAGGAGTATCCTCATATGTGCCCAGGAAGGCTTTCCTCACAGTTCAGTCACTGTTTTGTTTTTTTTTTTAAGTATTTAAAAGCATGCTTTTAATGCACTTGTATTGAAATGGAGGGGAGAAAATTACACATATTATGTAAGAATTGTGTGTGTGTTTTAGCTTGTATATGCATTTTTTTTTTAATTTCTAGAAAGATAAAGTAATAATGCTTGGAGAGGTGGTAGTAGGAAACGAGGCAGATGGGTGACAGGGAGTCTGCTTTTATGTGAACCTCTTAATATTTTTAGTAATTTGAACTATGTAAATCTATTATTGGTTCAATCAATTCAATATATAGTTTTAACTTTTTTTCTCTAGCAATATAGATGTTCTGTACTGGGCAGGTTTCCCTAGACATCTAATCTGCTGTTTTGCTAGAAATGGAATAGTGGTTGTTTTTGTGGTTCTATAAACTTCAGATGATTGTTTTACCTCTGCCAGCCTCTAGTTGAACTCTGTAGATCAATATTTTCCAAACTATCTGTGTCCGAGGATCAGTTCTGTAAGATTTTCCAATCTATCATGGACTGATACTTTGGTAAACCACAATAAAAGTAAATTACTGATCGTGTGCTTGGGTGACATGGCAATGGTAAGTTGGTGTAGAAGTTTCTAAACACTTTCTCTCAATTTCTGTTGATCACAGACCAGTCAAAAAGCAGCTTGGACACCAAACCACACTGAGCAAGTGCTGCTGTGGGTGGCACGCACCCACTGTTTTCCGGCATTAGTGTCTTGGATCAGAAATTGATACCACCCTGTTGTTTTAATTTCTTGTTGGTTTACATTTTTTTTTCCATTGTAGGCAACCTGTTTTCTTTCTGTTAAGATGTTTTTCGGCCTCATCTGAAACATTGAGGTGTTTGCTGCAGCACATCCTGCCCTAATAGCTGGGAGTGAACCTGCGGCTAAACGCTCTGGATAGGAATCCTGGTATACTTGCTGAGGTCATTCATAGATTGAGTATTTCCCTGAATCTAAGATATACTGATGCTGGTATTTTCTTGATCTTCTAGGAGGTTTCACGGGTTGGTTTTCTTACTACTAAGTTAGGACTGCTGTCTGGCTGCCAGCAATTTAAAGATGCCATTGATTTCAGAGATGTTAAAATGTGGGAGAATGGGTGCCTTAAAATACCTTGCGCATGGCCCCATGATTGTAGCCTCTAATTACTGTTGAGTGCTTCAGGATTTGCTTATGAGAACGAGGGAGGAAGCCCGGAAGCCTTTGGTGACTTACTTTAGATACTTCGCCCCTCTGCTGAATGGTGTCTCTTCTTTTCTCTTTGTTGTGACGACCTCACAGAAACAGGGGAAGATTCTCTTTCCCTAAATGCTGGGGTCTCATTAGGAGGCCTGGGCCGCAGCACGCTTGGGATGGACAAGCACTGAGAACCTTTGCCAAATGACCTGTGAATTGTCAGTGGTCCATCTTCCAATGTCATTAATAAACATTTTCCTTATCACTGAGATTTTTTTTTCTCTTACTTTTAACTTCCCTCTGTTCCACCCTTGCCATTTGTGAGCTTGTGAATATTGAGAGTCCTGCTAGTTATCCCATTTCCTTGTTTTCCATGCAGGGAGCTCGATGCTCCTTTCAATCACGTATTATGTGGACTGTTTGGTATAGAAATTTCCCAGATTTTCCTGGTCACGCCCTCCTATTCTTTCTTTTTTTTTTGGTGAAGATTGGGATTTTTCCCTTGTTATTTTTGTAGTTCTTTGGCCACATTGATGGTAATTCAGAAGGAAAGGAAGTTAGTATGTGGGCTAATGTAATTCATTTCTTCACCATGTATTTATTGAATACCTCCTCTATGTCAGGCATAGTTCTCAAAGCACTGGGAACACAGCAGTAAACAGTAGCTTAAGCCCCAGCCTTCAGTGGCACATTCATTCTGCATAGTTGTGGTTTTCCTAAACTGGAAGCTTACCTGGCTACTTCTGTTCATCTTCAGATATCCTTTTAGAAAGATGTCAACTAAAAAATATATAACTTAGAATTTAGTAATTTATTGATAGCTTGGTACATACTTTCTGTAGATTTGGCACCAGTATATTCTCTAGAAGTAATGTATATATCATTTGCTTTTCAGCCGATTACACCTCAACAAGAAGGCAACGGACAAACAGCCATATAGCAAGCTCCCAGGGGTGTCTCTTCTGAAACCACTGAAAGGAGTAGATCCTAACCTAATCAACAACTTAGAAACATTCTTCGAATTGGATTATCCCAAAGTAAGTACAATGTTACACTCACTAGGAATGGGCTGGACCATGCTTTTTTTTTTTCCTTATTGTTAACACTTTAAAGAGGCATTTGGACATTGTATAAGGTGAAGGTACTGAAAGTTCGTGGTGATGTTGGCCTCATAAGATTTATGCTCTAGTACAGTAGTCACAGGACAGGAATGGGTTGAGGAAGAAGTCAGCATTCTGATTCTAACTACCTGCATGCCCATCTGAAGAACTCAGATGTCATTGTGTGCCTGGTAGTTTGAATATAAAAATCTTGTTCTGTGAGAGTTGTATGCAAACAATAGGGAAGGAGGGGGAGGAAGAGAAAAAACATATTCAGTTGCCTGAAATGGGATGCAGGACAGTTAGAAATAAAAGGAAATCCCCTTGAGAATCTGGCTTTTAGCCAAGAATAGGTTACAGTTAGTGTCAGACAGGAATTCCTCAAACCTAATTTTTAATTTATTTTTCTAGGTTTTAATACCTAATTGTATTGCTCATACCATTTGTGCAGTCTGCGTGTCTGTAAACTCGATGTGCTCCTCCAAGTTGTTTTGAAATGGGAGAATTCTTTTTATCTCTTCCCTTTAATATTCCACCTTTAGTTTCTTAGAAGAACTTAATATTCTTTCATTTTTGTATCCAGCTTTTTCACACCTTTAAATTGCCTACTTGAGCCATGACTTTTGAATGTGTCTTTCAGTTTCTATGTGCTTGATTTTCAGTCCAGTATAATTTTCCCTCTGTGATCTCTAGTCATTTGCCAGCAATTTTTACCCTTCCTGCTTCAATTTTTCCATAGTTTTTTGTCACTTAGAGACTCTTTCCCTCCCTTTTCTTTAGAATGGGATAGCTCAAGTAGTGAGAAAAAGATGGTATATACACCACAACTATGGTGACTGGATTTCACGCCCTTATTCCTTTTAGCCCTTATTTTCCCTAGTAGCACCAATGAAAAGAACAGAGAAGACATAGATGTGATGCCTTAATGCAGCTCTTATTAAGTGTGTAAACATGAGTATCAATTATTTTTTAGTGTTGTTTTTATATTACTGCCTTCAGAGTCTTGGAGTCTAAATGTTTGAAGCCAAAAATTAATGTATTTCTTCTAGTTTATGTACACACACACACATAGTAATTTTAGAAATCCAAATCATATACATTTATCATCTACTCAATAAATTAAATTTGCAGTTTTAAAAAATTAGGTATGTACTTGATCTTTTTCAAACTTAGTGTAAAAAGAGGCTGTTTATAATTCAGAAAAAAGGATATACATAAAATGTAAAATAAGCTTTGCAGTAAGAAGATGGAAGTTATTCAAACCTACATTATATAAGTAAATGCAAAGGAGAATTTATTTTTATAAATGAAATAATATTGTCATTGATGATGAATAAATCTCAAGAGCATAGCTTAGAATCATATGCATTCATCCTTGTGAAACTTACTCTAACATTTCACTTTTTAACCATCCTCCAATTCTACCCTTTCCCCTCTTCTGCATTCAGCCACTCTTAAAATTTTGTTACGGAATTTTTATGTTGGAATTCTTGTGAGATAATAGTCATGGAATTTAAATGATTGTGGAAGTTAGTGTGGGTTTTAATTGAAGAAAGTTTTTCAAAATAACCCTAGGGCAATATGCATCCATTAGTTATGAACCTTTGGGATGAGTCAGTAATTGACTTCTTCTGAAGGTCTTTCTAAAATTACAATTCAGAATTACCTCAAGAACTCTAGTTTTCACGTAGTGCTTTTTCCACTTAAGTCATTGAGGTATTTAAACTGGTTGAGGAGAAAGCTATATGGAATGAGAAACTGCATATGCATGAGAGTGTAAAAACACTTTTTTTAGTTCACGATTTTATTTACTAATTATAGAGTTATCATTCACTGTGTAAATAAAACATTTAGAAGGTAGAGGAAACGTACAAAGTACCTGCCGTCTAAAGGAAAATTTTGACCTCACAGCATTATGTTTGGTCTTTTGAAAAGATCAGTACAATGACATATGCTGCACGAGGGACTGACATTGAACCACTGAAATCGCACAAATCAGAATGTGAGCCGATGAGTTGTTTGTGTCGCCAAGGAAGGCATGAGGTCCTGAGACGATCACTTGCCTGCCAGGCCCAGCGCACTTAAAGATTCACTTTCTGCCGTCTTACAGATGTATGGAAACATTTTTATTCTGGACATAACTTCTTTCTTCTTTATTTGATATGGTCCATTATAGGCCATTTTGAAAAAAGAATAGGATATGTTGAACTTTTAAAATTTTATTTAATTTATTTAAGATTTTCTACTGGTACTTGTTCTAAATTTTTGGTTTATCTCTTGGTGAGACTATTCCTATGCAAATTGCCCTGAAAATTTTCTGTGCTTTTACTACCTTACAAATCTACCTTATTGTGATAATTATTCCTTGGAAAAAACATAAGGATAAAAAAGTGGTACGGTTTATCTTTCACAGAATTGAGTACTCATTTGTTTTCAACACAGAAGAAGGCATGTAAGGAGAGATTAAGCGGTGGCAGGAAGATTCAATACATGTGCTTCTAAAGAGGTTGGATGAAGCTTTATTTTAGTAAATTCTGGCCATATGAAGAGTTTTTAAATGAGTAATAAGAGTTATCAACAGAGAGAGGCTATGGTAATTGCAATTTTTTTTTTTCTTTTTTGCAGCTACAGAACTGGTTTTAAATGTTACAAGTCCTGGGCCATGTTTGGAGTCTTTTTATTATCAGTGGTGTTCCTGTGTGTAAGAGGAATTGTTTTCTAATGGCATAGGCTTCTAACAAAGAGTTAGAGAAGACTGAAAATAGGGTCAGTAATCAAAAGACCAAGCACAATACATGTAGTGAAACTACTAAGTCTGATAGATTAGGGATTCACCACGGAAAATTGAAAAACTGTATGAACTATCTAGTTCTTGAAATAGATAACTATATACTATTACTTGTCAAAAGTTTGAATTCAGAGCAGTTTTCTTACCAAACATCTCCTCATGGCATCTGTCTGCTCTGAAAAGTTACCCTAGGACAAATTAATGAACCTAACAAATGTACTGATCACTTACTTTTTGCTTTGAATGTTCTAGGCATTTGAGGTCTAAATCTACTGTCATAGAACTTATATTCTATAGTAATCCAAATATCATAAAATTTTTTCTGTGAACATGTATAGTTATAAATAATTCAAGATATTCCTACTTGATATGCACTATAACTGATTAATATACTTTAAAACACTTTTCTATCATGAGGATATTTCATCTTTTTTGCTGTAGTGAAAACTTTACATTCCTAATGTCTGTAGGGCTGAATCAATGAGATTTTAATAGTATTTATACATGGAAATCTAATATATATGCATTCAAATTTATTCATAAAAGCACAAAAATATCATTCACGATTATTGCACTTTCAGATATTCAGTTCTTATATATCAAAGGGCTGAATCTCAGTTGGTGGGTTTTCCTTACCGCTCATGTTCTCAGCCTTTTCATCATTTCACCGTTTGAAAAGAAAAAGGGAACATTAGTCAGTTAGCTGTTTGTATAGTTTACTAAAGGTCTGATAGAGGCTGACCTCACCTAAATTACTCTGGGGTTTATTTCTAGATTTTATGTTAATTAATAGTATGCCCATTTATAGTGGAATTTATTGTATCTTCTGTCCCTTTCAATTTATAAAGTGAAAGTTTTTCTTAAAGTATTTTTAAGTATAATATTTTAAATAAATACATTTCGAACATATATATTTATATCTAATCCTTTAGATAGTAAAAAATATATCTGATAAAATTATTTCTGTGTTAGCTAAGAAAGCCTTTAACTAATTTAGTATCTTGTGTTTGCCAGTTGCAACATATTGAGGTGATTTAACTATTCAAATAGAGTCTTAACAAATAAAGTGTTTGATCAAACTTTGAAGACACAAAGGTGATATCAGAACTGAAAAATGAAGATTCCTGGTTAAAATCTAATACTTTGGAAAACACTTATAGTGACACTGCCAGTTTGGTATATTTTCAATATCAGTAACAATTAAGTGAAAGTTACATGTTTAAGAAGAGTGAGCATTTTTTTAGATAATGTGAATTGACTTTCATGTGCACTGTGGTTAATCAGGAAATACTTTTCATTTGAAATTAAGTTTAAGAGGTCTAACCCATAAAAATAAAAACTTTAAGCCATGCATATTTGAATAAAGGTAAATGACATCTCCCTTACTAACATCATACCATGTCTCAAAAAATTTTTGTTCTAACTTAGTAATAACTTTTTCCTTCCCATTGAGTACATTTCTAGTTCTGTTTTACAGAGTTATCTCTTGCTGGGGAAGAAAGCTAAGACTAGCTTTTAATTACATTTTATGGAATTTCATCGCTTATATAAAAATATCTCCTTTCACTATATTCACTCATACCTGCCAAACAGCATAAATTACAAGAACATTAAAGAAACAATCCTGTATTTGGGAAAACAAGGAACTCTCTTTAGAGCAAGCCTGCTGAGCAGCTCACTGCAACAGAAAAGCTAGTTTTTACTTTTACCCTTTGGAAAGTCACTTAACCTTTCTAATCTTCATTGTTAAGGTCAATGTCAACCAAACATTGTTTTGAGAGGCTGCCGCTGATGGCTGATGCTTTATAAGACTTAGAGAATCAACCCTTTGGGAAATTCAGGGGTGTGGCAGGAGGATGCCCTGCCATCTGCAGATTTTTATCTGGTCTCTGGAGATAAAGTAGCTGTAAAGTCGGTTTCAACACCTCTTGAGTGGCAATTTTGGTTAGTCATTGTTAAAGGTAAATTGGGTAGGATTTATAATAATAGTATATAGAAAGTATAAATAAAGTATAGATTGCCCTCTACCTAATTATTGCGAAAACATTTTTACACTTGAAAAAACCTCCTACCGTATTACCTTCTTCATGGACCTTAGTCCTGGCTCTTTGGTACTCAACCACTGATTTCTATATTCTCAGTTTTTGCTGAGATAAAATATATTAATCAAACAGCAATTAATTATTGTGCTCAAGGACACTGTAAACATTTTATTTCCACTTCTAACTTGTGTATGCTTTTCAGTGGAAGTAAATAAAACAGATCTTTTTACCTGAGTGAGTCTCTGCATGTTAGACACCTAAAAAGTTGTGTCTTTAGCTTTCATATTTCAGAACACAGAGCTTTGTTATTTATTTATTTATTTTGTGGCCATAATTAACCGATTTCACATTCGACCTATTTTTGAAAGGATGTTTAGTAGGATCTTTGTCATTGAGTCAGCATGAATATATCACTTTATTTTTTCCCCGCATCACAAACTTTTATCATATACTCCCACAATAGCATAAACTCTGAAAAGCATCCACAGCATTTTTGTAACAAAGTGCTCGGAGCGGAGCCGCACGCAGAAATCAGATGCCGCACCTGTTCCTGCACAGGCGCAGATGCCGAATATATCACTTTTGAAAAAAAAATTGCTACTTAGATACATATCCCACAAAATAATAGAGTAGCATCTTTGTGTGTGAAAGCAGAGACTTCCTTAACATTTAGTAGTTTACTAAATAGTAACTTAGAGGTTTAGTTAAAGATTTTATAAATGTGGTTACATGTCAGAATCACCCATGGAGATTCTGATTCAAAAGTCTAAAAATGGGGCCCAGTATTCTCTTTTTTTAAATAAATGTCCCAGGAGACTTTGACACAGCCAGTCAAGTGTAAAGAAATGACTTCCTTAATTTACTGTCAAAGAGTATACCAAGCACTGGGCAAAATAAAATCCTGGGTATTGTCATAGTTAAAAGGCCAAGTGTGCTTTTCGGGATTTTTTAATCAAACTCAATTTTACTTAAAAAATTATTATACAACAAAAAAATCTAATCTCACTTTATCCCTTTCACATGGTATTTGGGAAAGCCTTGTAAGTTTATATCATAATTGGATTTAATAATGTAATTTATAGCACTTAAGTTCACAGACAGACCTAGGGAATGGAGGATATGTTTGTGTTGCTTGCTTTCTGTGTTGCTTTTACACTGTTAGGTGCCCTCTGAGCATAGAATACATCTTCAGTAATGAAGGCCACAGAGAAGCTCAAGATTAAAAGTTTAATTACTGGGTCATGCCAGTCGTGGAGTGGCAAGACTTCAAACTGGGTGCCGCCAATTTATTCATTATCTCTTCTCCGGCTTGCAAACAGGCTCCTGTTCTAAAGAAGCTGCTCTTTGTTAAAGGAACAATTGATATCATAAGTGTTTGCATTCCTTTACGAATACTCTCAACTTTTTAATTTTGTGTGTGTAGTTGTTTTTCTTAATGTTCTTTAATTGTAAATACTAATAATGAATACTTATTTTTGTAGAAGAGGTTAATTTACATAAAATGTGTTCTTTGAATAGTATGAAGTACTCCTTTGTGTACAAGATCATGATGACCCAGCCATCGATGTCTGTAAGAAGCTTCTTGGAAAATATCCAAATGTTGATGCTAGATTGTTTATAGGTAAGTAACAAATAAATTCTACAGTTAATAGTATTATCAATAATCTTTTCATCAGACTATAAATTGAGGGGTTAGCCACCTAATGATGTCATTTAGCGTGTTTGCTTTATACATTCTTGTCTAGGTAGTGAAAGGTGTTTATAGCCTCTTGAATAAACTTCAGTTAGAAAAACAGAGGGTCTTTTTCATATCCGGGATTAACAAAATAACAAAAAAATTCACCCCAAATTATGTTACGCTGATCAGTCAGATATGAGAGTATGTTGCTTTTGTTTCTTTAGTATTTTCAATGTGTTGCCTTTACTTGGGAGTGAGTGACAGAATTCAGTTTATTACACTGCAAAAAGATTATTTTCCCAAAAGCCTGCAGGCTTATGCTAAAGACTTATAGAGGAGTATTTACCACTCAATGTTGATTAATACTTACTATTAATGTGGGGCTTTAAGAATTAGGAAACTGGAGCTAATAAATTTTCTATGGTAAATTACATAATTATCTTTTTGAGAATGAACAATTTTCTAAATGTATTATGAATAAAGAATATAAAACGATATTAAAGTATGTTTAAATTACTAAATTTACAAGTACTTTTCTCTTTACCATGTATCTGTATCATAGAAAATATTTTCAGTGTTACATGGATCTTTCACCGCTGTACTTTTACATTTTTAGGTGGCAAAAAAGTTGGCATTAATCCTAAAATTAATAATTTAATGCCAGGATATGAGGTTGCAAAGTATGATCTCATATGGATTTGTGATAGTGGAATAAGAGGTGAGGCTTTTCTTTTTTATTTTCTAAAATTATTTATTTGATGATAAAATAAGAAAAACACTCTGAAAATACATTTATCAATTTTGTTTATTTAATAAAGTAATTCATTTCATCACTCTTTCATGGTAATATGTATGTAAGAAGCTTCTTGGAAAATATCCAGTGTTGATGCTAGATTGTTTATAGGTAAGTAACAAATAAATTCTACAGTTAATAGTATTATCAGTAATGTTATACTTACTAAAATGTTGATTTTTTTTTTTGCTAACCTAGGATGTTACATGAATAAAAAGGTTTTCATTTGAGAGAAAATTCCAACCATTAAGAAATAATAGTCATGGCCCATTATAGAGCATACAAGCTTTTTCATAGGTGTAAATGTTCCCTTGTTCATGGGACACCTTTACTTTAATATGTGAAATATGTAATATCTCATACAAAGGAACAGAAATTAATAGCTGAATATTTTATTAGAATACATACATGGCTTTTAGATGATTTTAGAAGGAAGCATTTTATATACGGAAATTGTAATTTACATTTTTGGATTTTTTTATTATGTGCTTACTTAGAATAACTGAGTTCTCTGTAATATTCTGTTGTATTCTAATTACCTCAAGTTTTTCAACTTCAACGCCATTGACATTTGGGAAGTTCTTTGTTACTGAGGCTGTTTGGCACCATTCCTGGCCTCTACCTGCCAGATGTCAGTAGCACCCCTCTCTCAGTTCTGACAACCAAAAATGTCTCCAGACATTACCACGTATCCCCTGTGGGCTGATGCCCAAGAACACGCATGTTTATGGTCCAAATACACTTCTGCACAGTAGATTTAGTTCTTAAAGACTTGAAGGAAATGAAAATGAAGTCACGTAAAGTGGTGTGAGTTGTCTGCTATTTGAAGATAGGATAGTGATTTTAAAATTTGTTATTAGCTTAAAATGCACATTTGAAAATTAATAGAAGTGTGGCACTTCTAATTAATCATGATCATTACAAATCTATCAGTTCAAGGTCAGAGATTACATTTCTTCTTCACATTGGCTGTGTTAAATTACTTACTATCATATATTTGTTATGTGTTCAGTGTACAAATCTGTCAAGTATTATTCAATTCTCACTAGTAGTTTTATGAGAGAATATCTCCTACCCTCCAGGGAAGTGGAGTATCATTTCCTGTGGTTGGAGAATGGAAGAGCCAGCACAAAAACTGAGGTCCTTTGACCTCTCTCCTGTACCTTTTCCACTAAGACACATTGTCCGTTTTTCCACTTTGGAGGATCTGAAATGGGGGGAGTGACATTTTCAAGGTATATGCTGCCTGTGGTACACCTGAGGTATACACTAGCCTGAAAATGTGCAAAGTAAATTAGCTTATCATACATTATGCCTCTTGGAAGTTTTGTATTCTATTCTGAAAGGTGATTTGAGATTCATTTTATTAGATCCAAATGTGAAAAGGAATTTATTTTTATTAAGAACTTAATAACAACTCAAAAAATGTATTTTACATGTGTAAGCATTTTACTAAAAATAATTTTGTGTCTCTCCCTTGCCCTTTTCGTGTTTTTTATTGTAGTAATTCCAGACACACTCACCGACATGGTTAACCAGATGACAGAGAAAGTAGGCCTGGTTCATGGGCTACCCTACGTGGCGGACAGACAGGGCTTTGCTGCCACATTAGAACAGGTAAGTATGATAGTCATAAATAATATTCTTCTAATCAGATCCCCAATCTCCCAGAAGCTTGAGACTATTCTGTGTCTGAGTCTGAAGTTAACTGTATTAAGTCTGTTTTAATGCAGTGAGTACTAGAATCCTCATGTTAGGAGGAGTAGTGGTCTCATTAGTGAAGAAATTCTTGTTGCCCCTGGAAACACTCACAGCTGAACTCCTGCACTCTGGCAGTGAGCAGATGTGCACAGGAAACATACTGTGCTGAACACAGCAGATTCTTTTTCCCAGGGGTCCTCGCTGTTAGTCCCAGACTGAAGCTCTGGAGTTCAGGCCTAAACTGTTAACTTACGTCAGAGTACCTGTTACACAGTTCTTTCAAAGATCCATTCTGAAAAGACTCCTTTTTAAAAATCAGGAAGTATTTCAAATATACAAAAAAGGAGCAGTTGTTCATATAAGTCATTTGATTTCCTCTTAAAACAGATTTCTAAAGATTATCTGAGAAACTTACTTTATGGTTTCCATTTCTTTCTCTTCACTTTATAACAGAAATAAAATCTTGTGTATAGGAAAATAGAAGAAACAAAAACCCAAAAAACAAACTACCCATACCCCTACCAATTAGAGAAGTTTCCATGCTTAAAAATTAATGTTCTTTGTTTCTGTTTGAAGCATTGTAGTACTAGGATCCCTTTTTTTCCTATGTATCTTTTAAAAAGCAAAGTTGAGATAGTACTCAAAGAAATTTGTATCTTATTTTTGTTACTTAATAAGCTTTTCCCCATAAGATTAATCATTTTTTACAAAAGTAATTTTTATTGGCTGTATCATGTATGTTTCCTATACTTGACTTAACTATTCCTGTACTGTTAAGCATTTAGGAGGAAAAATGTCTCTTAATGTTATAAGGGAGGGATAATATAGTCTTTTAAGTATATAAACTTGCTTTTAAGCATGTCTGCATTCATATTCTTTTGAATTGCAATCTTACAATTACCACAGATCTGAGGCGTTAAAGGTATATAGTGGAAACTTGGCACTTAACCTTTGACAGTTTGAGCTCTTCTGTAATATTGCCTATAAATACATTTGTCCAGCAAGAAATCATTGTCTTAAATTCCAGAGTTTTTGTTTAGTAAAAGAAACTCTGAGTAGTTACTTTAAAATACAATTGTTTTATTCTTACATGCCACATTGTGTTTTTGTTTTAGAAATATCCAGGTTGATTTATACGTCAGGATAAAGCACATCCCAGATTACACTCACTCCCATAGTTTAGGTCAGTCTAGTACTTAGAGTGAGTGGAAATAGGCCAGAGGAATTATTTCAGTCTTTACAGAAATCCTGGGATCATTCAACACAGTCCCTAGTTCCACCTCATTCCTAAGACCTCACTTAATAACTGCTTAAGGAAGCAAAATGTGTACTTCTGGTCTTAAAAGTTTGGTTCAGTTTACTCCCACGAACACCAGGGTTCCATTGCAGGCTGGACATAGCCTGTGTTACAAGAATGATGCTCTTGATCACCCTTGCAATTCTCTTGCCTCAGCCTGTGTGTGTATCTCCTGCCTTTGAGAAGGAGCACTGCGCTCTGTTTCAGGCTCATTAGAAAAGGCAGCATATCTAAGATGTAAATAATAAGCAAGGTTTCATATCTAATAAGGAAGGTGATGACCATCTTTTTCTGCCTTAATTTGGCAGCTTGTATATCTCATGACTTCAGTGCATTCTAGGGAAAGGACAGTAAAATGGGAGATAGAATCTTAGTGTCTGCCCTGCTTATGAAAAACACACTGAAAAATAAAATTGGGGAAATTGGGAAGAAGCTTAGTGACTCCGGGGCAGGAAGCAGTTAGCTATGAAAGGATACAAGAGAAGGAATTAAGAAATAGATTGTAGTATGGGTTGATACACCTATAGGTGGTATTTGTATGTATGCATGTGAATATATTTGACATATATATATACCTGTATATGTAGATGTGTATGTACTTACATGAAGATTCTGAAAACAGGATATATTAAATATGTGTTAATACTTTATGTCAGTGAGCGATATTTTTACACATTTTATATCCAGATTAAGTTTTATTTAGGTAAATTATTGATTTGCAGTTTTAGAAAAAGCAACATTTATTTGAGAATAGAATATACTTTTCCCTCCTACAAGTAAATTTTTCTTGTAATGGGGATAATAAGAGTACTAAACCAAATAAGAAATTACTGCCTGCTCTCTGTAAACAAACACTATTTTGCACCAATTTTTATTCTAGTAGTTTATATAAGAATAATAGGATAGTCACTCAGTCATACTTAAGGGAAATTCATTAGGAAAGAGTTTATCAGCACCGTACTTTTCACATAAAATGCTAATTGTATACATATGTTTTTGTTTTGTCAGGTATATTTTGGAACTTCTCATCCAAGGTCCTATATTTCTGCCAATGTAACTGGTTTCAAATGTGTGACAGGAATGTCATGTTTAATGAGAAAGGATGTATTAGATCAAGCAGGAGGGCTTATAGCTTTTGCCCAATACATTGCTGAAGATTACTTCATGGCCAAAGCAATAGCTGACCGGTAAGAAAACTAATTACATTAGGCTATCGTGTGTTTAGTACCTAACTTCTCCGTAGTTGTTTTACTCTATTTGTTAAATCCGTGGATTAAGGGCTATCTTATTTTTTTCTAGGGAGTGCAGAATAGTTTAATATTTTTAGAAAGTAATTCCCATTAATACATTCATAGACCTTGTAATATAGATATGTTCATAGGTGTGTTATACTAATGAAGCAAATTAATGTTCTGATTCCTCTATATTCATCAGGTTAACATGGATTGTGAAGTGACTAAAAAAGAAGCTCCTCTATGAATGTGAATTTTTATTATTATGGGCGTAAATTTCCATGTGCTTTAGAAGAATTAAATATCAGTGCAATCTTAAACCAACAAGTGAAAATTTAAAGAATATGTTTACAAGTTTTGAAATTTCTCAGATTCTTTTTGCTTTGCTAAGAAGCCACCTAATGTTTCACATAACTGACTCAACATTTCTCTGTCAGTGATTCTTGTTTGCTTTTAAAGGGGGTTACTGCCTTGTGTGATAATTTGTTAAAGATGTGATTTTAAAATTTGAAGTATATTTTTTAAATTCTCTTATTATAGTGTTCATTTGGTTGGTTCATGATTTCATAGTGTTTCCCATAAGATACATAATGATACTTTGTTTACATTTAATGTTGAATATGTACACACACATCCCCTACCCCATTTTTGTTTGTTTTTGGTTAGTAGTGATCAGAGACTAAACTATTAAATACAGAACTCACCCCATTTAGTACTTTCAGAATGCCTGTGTTTTAAGTCTCTTAAACTAAGCTGAGGGGCTGTAGTTCCTTCCAACTCTTAGATGGTACTACGATGGGCCAACTAAAACATCCAGTAGTGTGATACATGTGGAGTGGGGTGCTAATTCTGAAGACTAGGATCCCCCTGAACACTGGTCGTTGCTTCCTCTTTGTAGTGATGAGTAAATGCGTAACAATCATGCTTGCATGTGCCCTCATCATAGCTCATTTTATAATTGTCTTAATTTTCAGAGGTTGGAGGTTTGCAATGTCCACTCAAGTTGCAATGCAAAACTCTGGCTCATATTCAATTTCTCAGTTTCAGTCCAGAATGATCAGGTAAATCAGTTGGCTTTCTTCTTTTGATCCTTGATTAAAAATCAGATATTTGTTGAGTTCCAAGTAAGAGAGTTTAGCTTCTTTATTAAAATAAACTCAATGTCTAAATATATTTTCTTTTCTGTGTAACACTGAAAACATTAAAAAAACATGTTGAAACTTGGAATTTTTTTATATGTTGATCTCTCTTTTTGAATTTTCTACACTTGGAATTTTATCTGTTGCATGTATAGTTTTTTAATAGGTTAAATAAAAATAGAAAAGAGATTTATTAAGTACTCTTTAAAGGGGAAGGCCTTTTCATATAACATAGAACTGATCATCTTGGGGAAAAAATTGATTGGTCTCATAACCAGGCTGTTATTTAAAGAAAATTCTTTTTTTTTTTTTTTTAAGGTGGACCAAATTGCGAATTAACATGCTTCCTGCTACAATAATTTGTGAGCCAATTTCAGAATGCTTTGTTGCCAGTTTGATAATTGGGTGGGCAGCCCACCATGTATTCAGATGGGACATTATGGTATTTTTCATGTGTCATTGCCTGGCATGGTTTATATTTGACTACATTCAACTCAGGGGTGTCCAGGTATGTGGATAGGCGTGAAAAGGTTGGCAGCCATTTGGTGGAACTAAAACTACTTTAAGTCAGAAAAGGTTGATTAAGATCTCTCAGAGCCATTTTTTAGTGTTGTATTGAAGGTTAATATCAGACTTGCACATTACTTTCCTTAGTGGAATGTGGGCACAAAACGTCACTTGATTTCAGCTTTTTGTTGGTTATACAATCACTTTTCTTAAGGCTCCATAAAAACGTTTAACAAATCAAATATTAAGACTAAGAATATATTAGGAGAGCTCTTATTTTAGTGCTTTTTCTACTCATGATTAACGTTTTCTGTAACTGAAAGAGCATAGCAGTTATACACATGATTTCTATAGTATAAGGGAGTGAAATTGAAGAATTTCGTTTTTTAACCATGTCTTTAGTTTGACAGTCCTTTTTTTTTACCCCTAGGGTGGCACACTGTGTTTTTCAAAACTTGATTATGCAGTAGCCTGGTTCATCCGTGAATCCATGACAATATACATTTTTTTGTCGGCATTATGGGACCCTACTATAAGCTGGAGAACTGGTCGCTACAGATTGCGCTGTGGAGGCACAGCGGAGGAAATTCTAGATGTATAACTACAGCTTTGTGACTGTACATAAGAGGAAAAAAGAAAAGTATTATAAATTATGTTTATATAAATGCTTTTAAAGATCTACTTCAGTAGTTTTATCATGTGTATGTTTTAGTTTCTGTTCTTTAATTTATTTTGCATGGCACTTGAATTTGTGGGGGGAAAAAAACACATCTGTAGTCTTGGCCAAATGGTACACTTTATTTTGTGGAAATAGAGAATCAAGAGAATTGGTTCTAGGAACCTGGGTTCAGCTTTTGTTGTTATTGGTTTATTTTTTTAAATAAATAAATGTGTATATATGAATGCTCTGCAACAAACACTATGACAGTATCCTTCAGTAGAGAAAGTTTCTTATCTGTGAGTACACTCTTGTAGAGCATTTGTGGGATGGCAGCAGCTTTGTTTTAGGATTTAGAAAAGGCTGGAAGATAAATCACTTTCCACGTGGCTGGAAAATAGTCCCTTTCCACGTGCAAAGTGAGTGGTATGCGGTGAACAACCCACATGGAGGTACTAACTGAGAAACTTTTTCATGCTCTATGCCTACCTCTTGTAGTTGTTGCAGAGTGAATATAAATTGTAATAAGGTACCTAGGCCTTGCAAAAACAAGTAGAAAAAACTTTAAAAAGTAATGATAATAAAAGAGCTGGAGTCTAGTATTTATATGAATCTGTGAGAGGTATTTTTTTTTTTTGGTCTCACTGCAATGAACCAAAAGTGGGTGAGCTTGGTTTTTAATTGTAGCCATGTATTGAGGGCATCTTTTGACCAACTTTTGTTGGTTCTGTCTTGAACCATTGTTAATCACTGTGCTGGTGTGCCTTTCCTTCTCTGCTCCTCACCTGGCCCGCCCCATCTTTCCCTAACTTTTCTTCTGGGGGGTGGGGGATGTGTGTGTGGGTTGTTTTAGTGTGAATGGATGTTTTCATAGTTGTGAGGAAAAATGCATTTCAGACACATTTCACACATGAGCTATTTTCTTATACAGTATGTCTTACTGTTAAAAAGAATGTAATTTCATGACACAGGTATTTAATATCTTTTTTAAGTAAGTAAATATTCTAGCCATCAGTAAATAAATTGCAGTAGAGTATTAAGAGGGGGACGGGATGAGTTTTACTCTAAAAATTAATCAGTATCAAACTAAGTCTACTGTGTGTGTGTGTGTGTGTGTTTTTTTTACATTACAGTTAGTCTAGTCTTATTTAAATTGGATATTTGTATTCCAGTTTGTATGACAAATTAGACTAGATCAGTACTAGTTGTAAATGCATGCATGCTTTATTTCCCTTTTTTCTCCATGCAGCTAAACTTGCTTGTCAAGTTGTGCTTGACTTGTGGTGAACTGGACTTGTTTTTGTTTTCAAAGAAGATAGGCAAAAATGTAAGGGACAGTGCATAAGCCTTTCTTTTTATTTTCTTGCAGTGGAATTTTTGCTTTTTCTTCAGAATTGGATGTCATATTGTCCATATGAATGCCTGCTATAGGGCTGACACTGGCAATATGGCAGCTTTATTCTAAGTTACTACAGTTTTCATGTCAAACATAATGTGTAGCATATTAGCAATAATTACATGTTGATAGAAAAGTGAACTCTTTTTCACTTCACTGAGCCAATTCATTTATTGTCTGATAACTATATGCATAGTTTAAATTGCAATATATCTACAAATGTGTATTACTATATATACACATTACAAATAAGCTTTTCTCTGGGCCATACTGCTTCATCCATTTTTGGCCTTATGATAAATTTGTTTGAAGGGCATTTTCTTCATGAACAAAGGCTTTGATGCATATTCCTTGTGTGAAATGAGTAAGACTGTTGCCTGAGGAAAGTTGCACAGTGAAAACCAGTCTGGTTGTGACCCACTACATGTTTATTGTTTTTTATCACTGTTATATACAAGTTGAATTTTGTTGAATATGTTTGTCATTTGTTGGTTTGTTTAACGAAGTTTGGTTGATGCCATCCTTTGCGCTACTGAAGTGAAGTCTCGCTTATTAGCTTTCTGCCGACTCAGTATGGGCAATGAAACAACTAGAATGGCTGAACAGACTGGCTGAACAGACTTCTTTTTGTAAATATAAATAAATGACTGTTCTATATATGTGTTTTATGTGGTAGTGGAGTGTTTCCTTAAAGTGAAGCTTCACTTAAGCAGAGTGATTCTTTGTTTAGCAAGTTTAGAGTGATGATAAAATGGTAAATAATATCACCATTAAAGAAAGAACTGTAGGAGTCCCAATTTAATAAACCATCTAAAAAAAAGTGTCTAGAATATACCACGTTTTATTGTTTAAAATCACTGTCTTGTTTTTTGTTCAAAAAATAAAAATTTGAATACAATCAAAACATTAGCAATAAAGTATTTTTGTTTACTGTCTTTCCTTTTATTTTATATTTTTATATACACATCAGATTTTTAGAAGAATTCTGTCAAATGTTAATTTTGATATCTTCCTTTTTACCTGTGCTAGAAGCAGAATTATGACTTAAAGCTGGACTTTGCTACATTGGTCACACATTAGAATTATCTGGAGAACTTTTTCAAAAATACAGATGCCTGGGCTGTGCCCACGGAGATTCTGGTTTAATTATTCTAGGGTGGAGCCTGAGCTCTTCTTGTCATTCTACTGTGCACTCAGACCTGAGAAGCACTGGGTCATTAATAACATTCAGAAAAGACCCGGTGGTCCCTTCAACTCCAGATCTCAGCCCCTTACATCTTTCCTCTCCAATAAGTAGGAGAGGAATGGAGTGGCTTTGCTGCTGAAGACCTAACTGGGAGATCCACTGGGCTGCCTCCCACACACTGCCCAGGGCCAGGCTTCTCCCAAGCTACAGGCATTCTCAGGCCTATTTAACCATCTAGTGCCAGAGAATTGCTTTGAGAGAGTATCCCAGGGGAGGAGGACTCTAAAAGGGGTTTGGAGTGATGAAAATAGTTGCCATTAGTGGTGATTTGCACAATCTCGTTAATACACTAAAAATCACTGGCTTGTATATTTAAAAGGTGAATTTTATGGCTTGTGGATTATATCTCAATTTTTTTAAATAAAGGAAAAATAAAAATCACTCAAATGTGTTATTTCCTTCCAGTGTTCTGACACAGGTAGCTGAAATGCTTTCAAGAGAGGGTGTAACTGCTCATTATTTAGCATCCTTGCTATAACTCAAAAGTGCCATTTTCTAAATCTTTTTAAATTTGACAGGGGAAAATATTATACCTCACTGTTTAAATACATGGATATCGTTAATGACTGGTAAGACTGAGCATTTTTGTATGTATGATTTTTAGCCATTGGAATTTCTCCATTTTTTTATTTAAATGAGGGGCTTAATATGTTTATTCCATACCTCTTCTTTTTAACCATATAAAACAATTTACATCACCAAACAGAACACTCTGCTAAAATTTTTGCATTGGGAATCATTTTTCCCCAAAGCAGGACAGGGGGAAGCATGTAAATGGCTCCCATTGTCCAGCTAAGTGGCCCATGTCAGCGTCCAGACCGAAGTCCTCCCAAACGTGATTTCCCTCCCTCTCATAGAACACAACCATCTTCAGCTTTGAAGTAACAAGTTTTTTCAGAGTGTATATATGTCTGCATTTCTGAAATAAAGCTTCCTTGGCCTTTGGGTAGTTTTTTCAATACATGTCTGAGCTTTATTTGCTTGTGTTTTATGAAGTATTTTCTAAGCTTTAGAAATGAGGTTATGTTACCTGCAGTCATTTGGAGTTTTCTCAGTGTTCTAGAAATAATTTGGCTAGGAATTACCTGGTCCTTGAAAGTTTGAAATAATTTATCCATAAAACTTTATCGGCCTGGTCAAAAATCTCTTGGACATAAACATTAGTGACTTCTTCATGAACATATCTCCCTGGGCAAGGAAAACAAAAGCAAAAATGAACAAGTGGGACTATATCAAGCTGAAAAGCTTCTGTACAGCAAAAGACACCATCAATAGAACAAAAACGTACCCCACAGTATGGGAGAATATATTTGTAAATGACAAATCCGATAAAGGCTTGACATCCAAAATATGTAGAGCTCACGCACCTCAACAAACAAAAAGCAAATAATCCAATTAAAAAATGAGGGGCTCTCTTGTCCCCTCCTGGCTCATGCCAGGAGCTGTCTGTCTGTCCTCTCACTGTATCTCTCAATAAAAGTCTCCCTGGCTCTCCTACCTTGACTGTTTAAAAAAAAAAAAAAAAAAAAAATGGGCAGAGGAGCTGAACAGACAGTTCTCCAAAAAAATTCAGATGGCCAACAGACACGTGAAAAGATCCACATCGCTAGTCATCAGAGAAATGCAAATTAAAACCACAATGAGATATCACCTCACACCAGTAAGGATGGCCACCATCCAAAAGACTAACAACAAATGTTGGCGAGGTTGTGGAGAAAGGGGAACCCTCCTACACTGCTGGTGGGAATGTAAATTAGTTCAACCAT